AATGTATTACAGAAAAATGTTAGCATAAAGATTTTTAGGAAAGAAATGTTCTCAATCTGTCTGTCCTAGCTGCTGAGTATTTTATCCCCCCGAGATTGGAGAGTTCTATATGTTAACAGATAAATATAACAATATCCGTATTCTGAATGTCTTCCAATAAACTGATATCATTCCGGCCATGTAGGGCAGCTCGCTATAACAAGCACATTCCATTGACATTACTTGTTATCTGTACATTGCGTTAGTCTAATTGCAAGAAATTGTATAGATTAAATTGGATTTTGATAAAATATTTTTACAAAATTACGTGCAGGATGTGTACAACCCACAATACACAGCATGCACTTACATGGTACAAACAAAATGTCAATGAAAGGGACACTGTAACATTAGTAATACATATCTGTATTCCTAATGCTATAGTCTTAACCCCTTAAAGAGGGAGGCAAATGTAAATGTTCTGATTAAATAAATAAAAACAAACCTGGAATTTGACTAAATGTCTGTTCAACAATAATTCACCTCTTTCATATTGTGCACCCACACTCACACGTATTATATATCATTTTGTTCAGTAGAAACAAGGTTTTCAGTTCCCATCAACTATTTATATATAAAACATAATGTTATATAAATAAAACCTAAAGTGTAAATTTAAGAAAACATTTTCTAGTTTTGCATGACATTTTAGGTGTTTGTCATAATACTGTTAGCTTTTACTGCAATAAAACACATATTTGTATTCAGTAATATCTCTCGAGTACAGCAATACCCCCATGTACAGGTTTTGGAATCTTACAGGGGTCAAATAAAGGGATTTCCCCTTGTCCATTTTTGCACATTGAAATTCGCCAGGTGGTTATGAGACCTTATGGTAGCCCAGGAATGAGAATTACCCCCATGATGGTATGCCATTTGTAAAAGTAGACATCCCAGTATATTCAAAATGGGGTATGTCCAGTTTTTTGTTTTTTTTTGTAGCCCACTGGACAAAATTAGCATTCATATTTGTTTTTTGCTTTTTACAAAAACAAACTGCCTTTTCACCAATATCATCATCAGCATATTACATTTTACTGCTCTAAAACACTCTGAACACAAATATGAGATGTCTTCCGAGTATAACAGTACCCTCCCCCATCCCCCCATATACAGGTTTCATGGTGTTTTGTAAAGTTATAGGGTCAAATATAGGGCTTGCAAATTAAATTGTATGGATTTTCTGCCTGGGTTGTCAGGCCATTCTCTCACAGTAGATTTATTAAAATCACTTAATTATGTAAAATTAATAGATAAATATATACATATATGTTGAGAGCGCGCGCACACACACACACATATATGCGTGTATACTTTTTTTTTTTGTTTAAAATGTATAACTACATATATTTTATTAATTTATTACACATTTATTTTACATTTCCATAATTTAATTATGAGTATTTTGATATTTATATTATATTTTAATAACATCAGTGGCGTACCCGGGTGCCGCCAGGTAGGGGGGGTGCCATGATCCTGGTCTGAGTGCTGGATGGGGATGTGTGAGCTGTGCCCCATGGCAGCTGGGGTGCCGGGCGGCCACCACAGCTCACAAGCAGAGACCAGCAATTTTCCTGGCCGCACAGAAGGAAAGTGGGGGGGCAAACCAGCAGCAGGGGCGGAGCTTAACATGACCCTTAACACTACTGTTACTGCTGCACATGGAGGTGAAGCAAGAAGGAATCCCTGCTTCTCCAACTAACTCCAGGGAAGAACTTCAGTGAATCCACTCCTCCTCCGGCCCACTGTCTGTAAGGAGAAGTGTGTGTGAGACTGTCTGGCTGCCTGTAACTGTGTCTGTGTGTGTGTGTGTATGACTGCCTGCAGGGCCGGAGTGGGGATACAAAGCTGCCCTGGAAAATAAATCTAGGCAAGCCCCATAGGTCACGGTGCCATATAATGTGTATAATTATTTATATATATATATATATATATATATATATATATATATATATATATATATATATATATATATATATATATATATATATATTATTTTATTATTATTATTATTATTTATTTATTTGTTTATTTTTTTTATGTGTTTATAAATTACTCAATTATCTGGGGTGGCAAGACATAGCCATACACATTGTTGGTATTTGTATTTTTCTAATTCAAAATATTAATCATTTCTGGGCAATCAAATTAAACAGTAAGCATACTCACATGCAGACACAGACAATCTCACTGACACAAGCTCATTGATACACAGGATCACAGACAGATAATCTCATTGATACACATAAGCTCATTGACATAAAAACACAAGCGCACTGATGCACACAAACAGATTTAATACAGACAAACTCTGACACACACACAAGCTTGCTACAGACAAGCGCACTGTCACACACATGCACACTCCCTACACAAGAGCTCAGTGACACACAGACAAGCTTACTGGCACACATACACAAACATTTAGTCCAGACAAACTCTGACACACACAAGCTTACTACAGACACACACACACACGCTCACTCACTAGCAGACACACACACACACACACAATCACTGTCATGGCTGAAGCTTACCTGGCACTGGTAGGTGAATTTGTCATTCTCTGGCCTCTTCCTTCCAGGGAGGTCAGCAGCTTGCCTGTGGGGCAGAGCTTAATTGTGGGAGGTGGGGCTTAGGTGTGAGGGTGGGCATGCGGCCCTGAATTGCTTAGCATTGTGCAGGCTGTCTGTGTCTGAGAGGAAAATCATTTAAATTAAATTTGCCTAGTTTAGAGTTTTCTGATAGGCCCCAGGTGCCCCGGCCCACTGGGAAATTTCCCAGTATCGCGGTGGGCCACTCCGGCCCTGACTGCCTGTGGCTATGTGTGTGAGACTGTCTGCCTGTAACTGTGTGTGTGTGTGACTGTGTGATGCTGCCTGTAACTGTGTGTGTGACTGTCTGCCTGTAACTGTGTGTGTGGGGCTGAGCAGGGGATTTGTGGAAGGGGTTTTGTAGGAGAGGGGCAAGACAGGGGTTTTACAAAGTTTCCAAATTTGTTCAATCTATTAAAAAAAAAAAAAGGGGGCGGGGCCTGACTGCCATGCAGACAAGTCACACATGAAGTGATCTCCTGAAAAGAAAAACCAAACGAATAAAAATAATGACTTTCCACCCAAGAAATCAAGCTCCGACCCGGCTGGAGTCACAATACAATCACGGGAGACACTTCTTACGGCATCTCACCACTAGACCGGCGGTCAAAACCAGGAGCTTCTTTGGGGCCTGCTTGCGGGAGAGGCTGGGGAGACATGGCCGGTCTCCCTGCTTCCTGCACTGCTGGAGCACAGGGAGGCAGATGGGGCTCCTGTCCCCCACCCCCCGTCGTTGGGGGTTATCACGGCACCAGCGCACCGGCTACAGCTTCCCTTTAAGCCCAAGCGACAAACTTGCGCCCAAACAGGGACGACAGGGCCCAGCTAAGATGGCGGCGCAGATACAGCGCAGGAAGAAGCACTCGCCTCCCATGCCACCCAAGCACACAACGGAGTTCTTTAACAGGCTCTGTTCATGCCTGTGGGAGAAGCTTAAGGCCAGGAGACAACCCTTCAGACTGGCGGCGAAAGCGGTGGCGGCGTGGATCCGCCCAGTGACCCGCTGCTGCCTGCGGTGGACCCCCCCATGTGTCTCCAGTATAGCCTCCCGACAGGACAATACACGTGACTTCAAACTCGAGCACGGAACCCGCAAGAGTACCCGACCTGCCTACCAACAAGCGGTCCCAGCAACAGCCATCCCGCAAAGCACAACCCGACACAGAGGGACTAGCAGAGCGGACAGCGATAAAAATTACACTGCGGCAGGGTTGGTGACTGACCGGCATAAAATGAACCCGCGATCAACCGGACCGAGAGCACAGAAGGGGCAATTGTCTAATCGCGACAGCATAACCACCATCACCCCACCAAGCGAGCGGGCCACCCCCGGGCAAGACACCCCCATGATGGACACAACGGAACAAACAGTGGGTATAGGCTGAAAGGGGAATCCGCTAGCAATACCCTATAGCCCAGACACTCGCCTTGCGGCAAGCACATAAGTCTGACAAAACACTTGGTAGCTCGACCGCACTGCCCAGATTCCAAGCCAGGCTCCTGCTACTTAATCTTGGTTAATCACTGTTAAACTAATATATGATAAACGTTGACCTCCAACTTTTTGTACAACTATTGAACGACATGCAGCAGTGAGTCCTTAGTGAGTCCTTAGAATAGCGTGTTTAGTATAAGCCTTATCTTAACGCTCAGTGACAGCATATGCACCAGAATAGGCACGTTATGCAATACTAATTATTATTTTCTAATACCTTTGTTTAGAACTAGAACCTGCTACAAGCTCACCCAACCTAGACATCCCTGACTAGCATGTTAGAAACTGCATGTTTAGCCTGTGACTCCATAACAATAAGGGTATAGCTAGAATAGCGTTGTTAAGCATTAATTGTTTTAATTACTTTTATTTTTCACTCTGAAGTTCTAACTGTATAGTCAGGCATGATAAAAATAAGTATAAAAATGTGAAAACCCTAATGCCACTACCTAACTCTTGTAACTCTTGCAATATGCTGTTGTGGCGTCTGTAAATTCCCTGTAACCAACTGCACAACAAAAATAAAAAATTCAACAAAAAAAAAAGAAAAGAAATTTTGCAGGTGTTTTTATTTCATTTTTTTTGGAGGGGAGGGGGTGCCAAACACAGGATCCACCCCGGGTGCCAAATGCGCCCCTGATAACATGCTTTATTTTTACATACGTGTGTGTGTGTGTGTGTGTGTGTGTGTATATAATATATCGATTGCATGCCAGAAAGCCACTAAAGGGACTTCTGGGTGGATAGGTGACTTTTGGCCATCTGACCCTGGACAGGGCATCCAGTGTCACCCAAAACCGCATAGGAAAGCATTATACCATATCTTTGTATAAGAAATCGATACTGCGGCACTTGCTTAATGCCGCCAAAGCCAACATCCCAGCTCACTGGAAACAAACCGACATACCTACTAAAAAAGAATGGATCCACAGGGTGGAAGAGATCCAAGGAGCAGAAGCAGCATACGCCACTCTAACAGGTCGGGAGACCAGGCACGCAGAGAGGTGGACGCCGTGGTTCTTGTACATATCTCGCTACCGCAGTAATGGAGGTGCACCGGGGCCCGAAGTGGGGGCACGGCCTGACGCGAGCTAAGCCAGAGGGATCATACCCTGTGTAACCTGCTTACCCCTACCCCTTGCCCTTCCCACTCTCTTATCCTTCTTGCCGGCGGGTGGGGGGCCGGGCCCGGGGCTGGGGGGATCTGCTGAGGGCGCTTTGCGGAACTACAAACAACACCTTACACTGGGAGAGTCACAAGGGACCTGGACACTACACCAATTGAGGTACTATGACTCAGGATAACTCATTATAGACGGGAGATACTTGGATATCAAGCGGGACGAACACATGGCAAGTTACTTGATGAACATCCCAAACCGGATAGACCTGTGACACCTTTCACTCTTGCACAGTAGTAACACCCACATCACACAACACTTTGACACTTCTCTCATGATATACAGGAGAGGGAAGCCCCAAGCACTTTTTTTTAGACACAGAGGCACATGGTCGCTACGCGAGCTCAGCATAGAGTTACGGTTGAGGGAAAATCGATGGGTCAGATGAGGGGCCCAGGTTGGTTGCTGGTCCCGACTTCCGGGTTGGCCTAGCAATCAGGGTTCCCATCACACAACATGTTGCCACACCCACCGTACCTAGAGTAAAGCACAGGTACCATTAACGATAACCGGCTTCATAACAAATACCTCATCTGAGAGATGAGAAATACATATAGGTGTTTTCTATAATAAACTTCATATAAAAGGTTGGGCTCGACAGAAGTAACCCCGGGAATACTCCATGCTCATTGCTCACCAACCACGACTATAACAAGAGATTTGGCCTAGTGCACAAGACCTCCCATGTTCATTTATAATACCCTGCTGAATGTAAACTAATGGGCAACTGGGCTCAGTCACCTAACTGGCAAGTATAGACACTATCATGACCAACTTGGTAGCGACAACCTAAGGTTTAATATACTTATGTTTGATTTGAATTCTTATACGTATATACACAGACCTGCGTGTCTTGCTCTGTTATTGTCGATGACTATGCATATTCTTCAATAAAAAGATTTACAAAAAAGGAAAGCATTATACTAGGATAACATGCCCCTGAATGGCCGGAGTTGCTACAGGAGGGCAAGGATCGCCACCTTAGCTAATTGTAGGGCTGCGGGGGGGGGGGCGGAGGATGGCTCGGCTCGTTTATGACCGCTTGATCAAGGACAGCAAGGGGTTAATGTTCCTAATTAGTTTCAGCCCCCCCACCCACCCAGATGTACATTCTAAACAAAGCAACTCACCTCTCCAGCCCCGAGTCTTCCTCGGCTCTGCCGCGGCCTCCTACAGAGTGATGTCAATTCCTAGGTGTTTCTGCAGAATGACGGTCCAATCCAATGTTCCTCATAAGGAAACATAAGGGACTGTAGGCAGCTGCACCTATTATTCTCCATGACTGACTGAGACAGCACTGCGCATGCTCACGTGATGTCACCATATGCTAGGTTACCAGAGCTGGAAAGTAACAAACCCCGAGGGTTTGGAGGCGTGGCTTGAAACCATGAAGTTCTAATTAATGCAATCAAGTAATTTGGGGCCACCAAAGATGACTGTAGGCACTATAACAGTGTAATTTAGATAAAGTTGTTGTAACGGCACTCCCAGGCATAAAAGGGTTAAACCGCCGTTTAGGAGATCTTCCCCTTCCAGAGACACAGGCAGCTACTTTAGACACTAATCCACCGAACCGGAGAAGCATATGAATGCTCTCAAACATACGAATACTGTAAACAGCCGAATAGGAAAAACCATACGAATAGGTTTACACTTCTAGCAGTCGAACTGGAACAGCATACAATAAATCCCCCCCCAAGAACGAGACAAGGCTCCGTTTTGAGGGTCAAGCAGGAACAGACAGAGCTGTGGGTTTATTGTTCTTATATACACATTAGTACCACCCACAGGGTTTTGGAAAACAACCAATAAACAGGTACAATACACTCAGACACTCCCACATAAAATCCTCCCCTCTGCCTGTGATACAATTACCTTACACAATGGGTAATGTAATTATCACAGCCAGAGAAATACAGTTTTCCACATTATTCATAACTTTAAAAGTATGCATCACATTCACATAAAACACATTTTCAGAATCAGCATACTCCAAATACAAATATATGTCAAAATCATACAAATTGGTCCAGTGGTTCAAAAGATAGATCGTAGTCCTTTGTGACCAAATGAAGCATGGCTTTTCTGCCCAAAACCAGTTCCACAGAGTCTTCTATCCTGGAGATAATTGGGAAGTAATCCAATTATCTCCAAGGACAGAGGCAAAACTCCATTAAGCACATGGCAGCAAAAGACAATAAAAGACAATAAACACGGTTACATTTATGACATAAAATACAGACATGCAACATATGCCCAGATAGCTTAGGTCTGAGCACACATTAATACTGAATGGTGCTCAGACCACACATACATACAGTTCAATTGCCATGGAGCCAAAGTCTTTTATTACACAAATAGGCTCCATGGCATAGCTATCTGGGTTATATGAGTTCATTCAGTAAATCCGAGAATCTACCGAACGCCAGGGCAGAAAACATGAATAGACCTTTCTGCATAGGAAAAAAAAAAGTATTTAAATGCCGGTCCATAGTCAAAAGGCAGCAGGCAGGCAACCAGGCTCCTCCAATGCACAGTGGCGAGATTGGTCTTGTCACAGTTGTTATAGTGAGTACAGTGTTCCTTTAGGTATATCATTAAAGGGGAAATGTCACTTTTCTAGAAATTACAACATATAAAACACTGAATATCACCTATAACTTGTGTTAATCATTTTTTGTGAGAGGATTCATTTTATTTTATAATTACTTGACCCAGTTCAGAAAAGGCACGGCCAGGGCAAATCATGCAAGTTTTCTCAAGTGCTACAAGCAGTTGTGTGCCATTTGTTCTGCACAATGATTTAAATCTCTCTGATTTCTACATTTAATTTTATTTTTTTAAACCCAACAAATACATATTTATTAAATAAAGGAAACGGACACGATACTGGCTTCTGTTGCGTTCCTGTTTTCAGACTGTGCTCCATTGCTGCGTCAATATTAACTCAGGATACGACTCCAAACATGGCGCCACTCACCAAAGATACTTCTGTATCAATTTTGACGCTGAGTGCTTCAATGTCCAGTCTTATGACGACGCTGGAGTCCTGCATCATCCGAGGGTCCATGTTTACATGGTCTTAATCCAGCGTCACTATTCACACATTCTGGCACAGGAACTTGGTGTCAACCAAAAGGAAACTCGCTACAGCTATTAATCTCCTCTCTAAATTTCTACGACTCGCTGTGCCCGAGAGTGCGTTTACACTTATTCCTTCATTCTTTGTCTTCACCTTTTAGCTTGTTTCACTATTCTGCATCCTGCACTGCTGACCTTGGCTGTCTCTCGTCTTGTCACTTTCTGGAACCCTGACCCCGACTTGTCTTTGACTCTGGGTTACCTGCTGGAAGGTATTCCTCCTGCCCTCTTTCTCTTATCACCTGCCCCATGTTTGCATGTTGAGTAATATCTAACCCTGACACCAATAAGCAAACAGAATGTAAAAAATTCCCGGGAAGAGACAGCTGCCCTTTAAATCTATTACTTTTTAAACCCAATATGATACGTATCAAACTTCAGGTTTTATCACGGTGTCCTCGGCTGCAACAGATTTGTGATTTATACATTTTAATCTATTTAAAACCATAAGAGAGATTGTTTTTACAAAGCATTTGCATCACTTAAAGTAGACTTGATACTTCTTCCTTTACCATATTTTTCACTTTGTTTTTTGCTTTTACAGGGACGAAATTTCAGCCTAATTAAACTATACAGTGAACCAAACTGCCCCATTTCATGTATATCAGATTATTATAATGTATACTATACATGCAATGCTCCTGCTGGGCGCTTCCCTTACCTCTTCTGAGCGAAGCCGTGCAGTGGAGAGCCAGCTCGTTAGTTGAGTGTGTCAGGTGAGTCTAATTGTTGATTTTGATTGATGTTAATATATAAGGAGGGTACTTCACTTAAAGCGGCACTGTCATGCCGAACTTACCTTTACCTATGCTCTGCACCGCCAGTCTTAGCAATGTTTTCCTATGAGCTTCCACGTCACATGCGGAAATGTCTCCAATGGCTGTTAGCGATCTATTGTGAGCTGTGCACATATTGCTGTATAATGCATCGAGAGCACGTCATTGTGGGAGCACATTACTGCCCTCTTGCTCTCACATGATGGATATAGATGCAGGTGCAAGGGAGTCACGTGACACGGTGGGTTTTATTCTCTAAACAGTAACAGACTTATTTATTAAAGTGAGGATTCAAAGTAGATTTAAAAATGTAAGATCAAAAAACCGTACTGGGAAAATGCTATAAGTCAGCGATGCTAACAATCTGGCCACTCTAGCCTTAAAGGAACACTCTAGGCACCCAGACCACTTCAGCTTAATGAAGTGGTCTGGGTGCCTGGTCCATCTAGGCTTAACCCATTCTTTTATAAACATAGCAGTTTCTCTGAACCTGCTATGTTTATGAATGGGTTAAGCCTTCCTCCAATTCCTCTAGCGGCTGTCTCATTGACAGCCGCTAGAGGCGCTTACGTGATTCTCACTGTGAAAATCACAGTGAGACCACGCCAGCGTCCATAGGAAAGCATTGATAATGCTTTCCTATATGACCGGCTGAATGCGCGCGCAGCTCTTGCCGCACGTGCGCATTCAGCCACATGGGAGGAGAAGAGGAGGATCGGAGGAGGAGAGCTCCCCACCCAGCGCTTGGAAAAAGTAAGTTTTTCCCCTTTTCCCCCTTCCAGAGCCGGACGGGAGGGGGTCCCTGAGGGTGGGGGCACCCTCAGGGCAGTATAGTGCCAGGAAAACGAGTATGTTTTCCTGGCACTATAGTGGTCCTTTAAAGGAACACTATAGTCAAACACAATTTAACTTACTGAAGTAGTTTTTGTGTATAGATCATGACTCTGAAGTTTTACTGCTCAATTCTCTGCCATTTAGGAGTTAAATCACTTTTGTTTCTGTTTATGCAGCTCTAGCCACACCTACCCTGACACAGCCTGCATGAAAACAAAATGGTTTTAATTTTTAATTAGAAGTCACTTGCTTTAAAAATAGTTTTTTTTTTTTTTTTTTTTTTATCTCCTACTCTGCAAATTGAGCTTTAATTACATACAGTAGGCTCCTGTAGGGTCTAGAAAGCTATTAACAGAGCAGGTGATACAGTGTAATTGAACAGAATTTGCAATAAAGGAAGTGTAATCATTATATCTCGCTCTACAGGAAGTGTTTAGGAAGGCTGTGCAAGTCACATGGGGGAGGGGTGTGACTAGGGTTGCATAAATAACCTGACAACTCCTAGATGGCAGAGAACTGAGCAGTGAGACGGAAGGGACATGATCTATACAACAAAACTTCTTCATTAAGCTAGTTGTTTTGGCAACTTTAGTGTCCCTTTAAGTTTGAAATTCACTTTGAATTCTTACTTTAGTAAATAACTATGTGAAAGCCACAAGAATAACTGTACTTTATCAGGATCTACAAGTAACATATATATATTTTTAAGGCTATATAAATTAAATGTGAGCAGTTGGAAGACCTATTTTTACCTTTATGCACTATATCGTGAACTTGTTAATAAATTGTGCTGATAACATTCACATATAAAGAAACCGGCATCCTTGCACAATAGCGGGAAAACATGCTATGTCCACCAAACATCTTTTCAAAGCCCCACACTGCGTTAGGCTGTGCACTAACATTACCCCATATTATAGGCAAGATATAATGTTGTTGACTGCTTTCTACTGCATCATAGCCTATATGAGATTAGTGCACCCGGTCTACACATCGCATACGAACCAACCATTGTTTTAACGACTGTTAACTGTAACCCATGCTTTGAGCTATACATGAATGTCCTTACCTAAGCTGAAATCAGATACCTAAATTAATGGCAGAACACATAGCTAAAAAGTCTTACCTTACCAGTCTAGCTATTACCTTTAATAGAATAATGCAATGATAACCAGTAATACACTATGGGATCGCAGCAACCTAGGGTGAATGTTTCACTAGTTAATACTCGATTTGTTTCCTGTACAGGTTCAGTGTATAATTTATTTTTCCACCTCCCAGCCTCTGTGCCCAACAGAGCATTTAAGCACCTCAGCATGTCATTAGCTAACCACACGCTAATCGCCTTCTCTGACCAACCCCTGATTTAGCAATGGAACGGTCTCATTGGCGAAGTTTAAGACCTATATACAAATCAGTATGCCTAACATAAATGCCGCTATACTCAACGACAAGCATTCATTGTCACGTTTTGTTCTACATCTTGTTTTACTTTACGTTAACTAACTTTTTTTTTTTTAACAACGTAGCCGTTTTGTTAAGCGTGATATCCATTACATAATATAAAAAATGTGCAATTTTTCTGCCACTGCATAACTACTGTAACCTTGAAATACGCTGATGTGGCGTCCGTTAATAATCTGTAACCACCTGCACAACCAAAATAAAGAATAAAAAAAAAAAAAGAAACTGGCATCCTACGATTCCCATACACTAACAGATTATTCACTAAAGTTAATTTGCATCATTTTGTCCACTGAGATTTAACATGTAAAAATCAGAGATTAGAGAATAACCCCGATTTACGGATTTGTGTTGTGTGAATTCCTCGTTTGGCTTCAGCATAACTGTAAAGAAATTAAGTAAATTTGTAATCCTTTGCAGCAATTTCGCCATTTTATCATAAGCAAAAGTTGTTACTAGGGAGCAATGACCATTTGCTTTAATTATTTCTCTTCTCACAGGCAACCAAAGCATTGATTGGTCAATTGTGTTGCTTTAATCTAGAATAAAAACTACTTTGATCAAACCGAGTCTACGCTGAGACAGGGAACACATAATGGTATTTCTCCAGTTTCAGTGGTCCCGTAAATTCCAATCTTTGTATGTTCTAAAGCTCTCCCAATGCTTGAAGGTAAACTACAGACGGACACTGTACTTACAGTGCATTGATAGGTGTCTGCTACATGACGGGGCCCGAGAGGCTCAAATGTTGTCTGTGATTGCTGTATCTCTCAGGCATATTAATTATGAATCCCTTTGTGGTATCAGTCTCATGGGTTAATGGTATAGGTTCCCTCTGTAATGTCTGTGAGCAAGAATGTGTTTGAGATCCAAGCAGGAACTAACCATAAGGAAAGTTTTATGGAAAGAAAGTTGGGCACCACATCAGGTTCGATAGGGAAAAACAGAAAGCAGACAACGGAAAATGTTCCAATAATGTAGAATTCTCTGAAATGTGGATAAATGTATAAGATTAATAAAACGCACTTACATTTTCCAGAGCTAACATCTAGCTCAAATCCTTACACTTGGGCAAAACAATCCCCACTTATGGATGTTATTAAGCTTGAAATTCTATGGTGTAAGCCCTCAACAGGACATGTAATAAAACAAAAAGATATATTCTATGGTATAGTAAGTTCTAGGTAAATAAGTGCAAATATATAAGCGAACACTCACATATTAATAAGCCTATTCCAGCTCTGCTGATTTGTATCAAAAAGTGGAAAGTGCATTGATTGACAGGGATTACTTCCACCAGGGTGCTCAAGACTGAGAAGGCAAGTTCCAAAGATTCCACTGGAAATACACATTCAGGTACATACAATGCTTTACGTAACCAGGTCAGTCTAATTGTTGATTTTGATTGATGTTAATATATATATCAGGAGGGTACTTCACTTAAAGCGGCACTGTCATGCTGAACTTACCTTTCCTCAATATCTTCCTCTTCTCCTCCTCTCTCAGGATCTGTTCTTCTTTTCTTCCTGTCTTCATTAGTTTTCTTTAAAATCATAAGATAAAGTTGCCTTATGGAGGTTTCCTCCGCTTGACCAGTTGAGGAGCAAAGTGTGCTTCATTTCCGCTGGTCAGAGCAATTTTCCCATAATTCTTACCTTTCCTCTGTGATCTCGCGATGCTTCCGGTCATTTTAGACGAAACTGCCAAATTGCGTTCTAAATGAATGAGAACAGTATGTTCGTTTCGTTTAGAACTCAATTCGGCACTTTGTTCGTATCGGAATTTCATTTTAAAGAAAGAAACTCCAATTCAATTTGTGCCGCGGCTGCATCTTGCAGCCGCTTAGTAGATAACTCCCTAATACCATGGGAATTAGGGAGTTATCGTCCAAAAGGCTGAAAGACCTAAATTGGTCTTTCAGCCAACTTTACTAATACTAAGTAAAGATTACTTAGTATTAGTAAAGTAGGGGCATGTCTAGTCTAGTAGGCTGCCTGTGGCTGCTCACTGTAAAAAAAAAAAACCTATTGGCACCACATAATGGCCTTAATGGACAACCTGGGGGTAGTAAAGAAACCTACTGGGTGGGGGCCATAAATTACAATGGGGGGGGGACCTACTGTCCTCCCTCCCCAGTGCGGTGGGTGGGGACCATAAAGATAATGAGAAAGGGACCTACTGTCCTCCCCCCACCCCTGCGTGGTGGGTACCATAAATTACAATGGGGGGGGAACCTACTGTCCTACCCCCCCCCCCCACGAGCGGTGGGTGGAGGCCATAAAGATAATGAGGGGGGGGGACCTACTGTCCTCCCCCCTGGCCCCCACCTGCCCTAAGACAAATCCCCCCCATCAAAGGTGACTAGGGGTCCCCAAGCCCCTAGTTACCCACCCCAAAAAAAAAGTTACCCCCTACCTACCCTCCTCACCCTAAAAAAAATAGTTAGGGGGGAATAAAATAACTAACCTGTAAAGAAAAATTAAAGAAAAAACCTGACGCTAAAAAAATAATCCATCTTCACCCATGGAGGTCTCCGCAGACTGAGCTCTGCAGGGCTTATAAAGCCTTGCCCCACCCTGCAATTAGGTTTAAGCCAATCAGAGCGCTCTTTGTCATTTTACACAGCGTGGGAAAATTCCAAATAACTTTCCCACACAGTGTAAAATGATACAGAGCACTCTGATTGGTTAGCTTGAAATCCATCCAATCAGAGTGCTCTGTGTCATTTTACACAGCGTGGGAAAATTATTTGGAATTTTCCCACGTTGTGTAAAATGAAAAAGAGCACTCTGATTGGTTAGATTCCAAGCCCACCAATCAGAGTGTTATGAGTCAAATTACAGCATGTGAAAGTAGGGCCCCCATTTTTATAATCCCCACCCACCGCCCAGGGATGGGGGCTAGGGGGGGAGGACTGTAGGTCCGTGTCCACCCCCATTATCTTTATGGCCCCAACCCACTGCTCAAGGGTGGGGAGGACAGTAGGTTTCCCCCCCTCCCCCTCCATTGTAATTTATGACCCCCACCCACCGCGCAGGCACGGGGGAGGACAGTAGGTCCTCCCCCCCTCATTATCTTTATGGCCCTAATACGTGTCCCTCCCTTATTGTTATTTAGGGCCCCCACCCGCCGCACCGGGGTGGGGGCCGGATAGTATTTTTTTTTGGTTTTTTTTACAGCCACAGGCTGCTCGCTGTTTAGTGGACATGCCCCTACTCGCGGTATAGCAAGTAGGGGCATTGGGGAGATTTTAATCTCCCTTATGCTATTATGGGTGTCATATTGACCCCCATAGAGTGAGGGGGGACATAGGAAGTGGTGGGGAGCACTGCACTCTGAGGCTTCTATCTTTACATATTACAAGGAGGGAGCTGTGTGCCGGTAGCTCCTTCCTTGTAATAAACTGAACGAACAAACGAACACTGATACACAGTGTTTGTTTGTTTGTCTGATATTTCCATTCATTCGTCTTTCTGACGAATGAATGGATGAAATTCGCGTTCGCATGCCCAAGTGTTTAATTGGGCATGTGCGGGAATCTCACAGTCTGTCTAGTGTGGGCAGATGACGTGTCCCACAGGGACTTCCTCTACCCATACAAAGATGGCGGCGCCCTGAATCAGTGGCGTACATACCAGGGTCGCAGGGGTCGCGGCTGCGACCGGGCCCGGCCCACCAGGGGGCCCGGCCGCCCCTGCGACCCGGTATGTACCCACAGGGCCAGCCTCTACCCCTGGGGGGCCAAGGAGCCGGCCACCTCAGGGCCCCCCGAGGCTGGCCCTGCTGTCACACACACACACACTCTGGGGGGATTCCCTGGGGTCCAGTGGTGCTGGGCTCCTGGGCGGGTAGCCGGGCGGGTGGCCAGTCGGGCAGGCAGGCGGGCGCGCGAGGGAGCACTAGACCAGCCAACTAGGTCGCACGAGGGAGCTGAAGACCGGCCACCCGCCCAGGAGCCCAGCACCACTGGACCCCAGGGAATCCCCCCAGCACTCCAAAAGGTAAGGAGGCTGGGGGGATTATAGTAAAAAAAAACAAAAAAAACATGTGTGAGTGTGGGTGAGTGAGTGAGAGAGTGAGTGTGAGTGAGTGTTAGAGTGTGTCTTAGTGAGTCTGTTAGTGAGTGTGTGTGTTTGTCAATGAGAGTGTATGTTTTCTAAGTGAGTGTGTGAGTGTGTATGTATGTCTGTCGCTGAGTGTGTCTCTGTTAGCTAGTGTGTATGCGTCTGTAAGTGAGAGTGTGTGTGTGTGTCTTCAGCACTTACCTTTCTCCAGCGACGGACTCCCTTGGCGCTGGGGATCCCTCAGCCTCTCAGCTCCAAATGAGACCGCGCACGCATTCAAACCACCCATAGGAAAGCATTACTCAATGCTTTCCTATGGACGTTCAGTGAGACAGCCACTAGAGGCTGGAGTAGCCCTCAGTGAAACATAGCAGTTTCTCTGAAACGGCTATGTTTTCAGCTGCAGGGTTAAAACTAGAGGGACCTGACACCCAGACAACTTCATTGAGCTGATGTGATCTGAGTGTCTGTAGTGGTCCTTTAAAGGACCACTATAGTGCCAGGAAAACATACTCGTTTCCCTGGCACTATAGTGCCCTGAGGGTGCCCCCACCCTCAGGGACCCCCTCCCGCCCGGCTCTGGAAAGGGGAAAAGGGGTAAAACTTACCTTTTTCCAGTGCTGGGCGGAGAGCTCTCCTTCTCCGATCCTCCTCTTCTCCTCCCCGTCGGCTGTATGCGCACGCGCGGCAAGAGCTGCGCGCGCATTCAGCCGGTCACATAGGAAAGCATTCATAATGCTTTCCTATGGACGCTGGCGTGCTCTCACTGTGAAAATCACAGTGAGAAGCACGCAAGCGCCTCTAGCGGCTGTCAATGAAACAGCCGCTAGAGGAAATAGGGGAAGGCTTAACCCATTCATAAACATAGCAGTTTCTCTGAAACTGCTATGTTTATGAAAAAAATGGGTTAACCCTAGCTGGACCTGGCACCCAGACCACTTCATTAAGCTGAAGTGGTCTGGGTGCCTAGAGTGGTCCTTTAAGTGTGTGTGCATCTGCATGCACTGGCGTACATACCGCGGTCGCAGCCCTGTAACCCCTGCGACCAGGTGCCCACCGCCATGTGTTGCGGCCCGGCCCGCGCGCTGGGGGGGCGGGGGGCCATGGATCAAGTTTCGCACCGGGGCCCCATGGGTCATGTGTACGCCACTGCCCTGAATATAGATCGGGGCAGAAAATAAAGATAAAAAAATAGGTAATGTGGGGGGCTTAGGGGCATTTGGGGATAACTAGTGGGTCAGTTAGATGTAGTGGAGTCGGGAGAGGGGGTTAAAAAAAAAACAAAAAAAAACAACAAAACAAAAAAAACGGGATTCTGCCATGACAGTGCCGCTTTAATACATTAGACTTGGCAAAAGCTCACATATGAGCTGAAAAGTGGTCACTTTATTTTGTTTCTAAATAAGGACTGCATAGGGTGTGCTGGGGCGTTTGTGTATATTCCAGCTCTGCTGTGATGGCATAGCATTGACACAATCACCACTTTAGGATATCGTTCTTGCAGACGTTGCCACCATATATAGTGCCGACGGTGTGAAATGATGATATAATATATTTTGTAGCCAAGTTTCAGGTCGAGTTAAAAATCTTGGAAATTCAGCTTTTTATCGCACTGGTTCAGGGATAGCTCAAGGGTGGGCTGGGATGGCACCAGAGATGGAGGACATTTGGCATTGTGCCGCTAGTGAATACAGCCAATACAAAGTTTGCAGAATTATGGTCTTCATGTGACTCGCTTCCTTATGATATTCTAACATAAAATCTGTGAATGACTGAAATAAGAATCAGATCCTTATCTGTATTTAATAAAAAAGCAATTTTAGTGAGAAACCCAGTGCAGGCTTCAGTCCCCTCCAGCCCCCACAAACACAGCTCTGATACAAAGCTCCACATCTTTTATTCTCGTATAAATAAGCCGGGGAGGGAGAGAGACATGGCGCAGGACTGGCCCCTTTGCAGACAATGTTAAATCTCCATCAGTTGCTCCGTGCCCATAATGATCTCATTGAAACGTTTTGCTAAAGAGAAAAAAAAAAAAGAAAGAAAATAAACACAATGAGGTATAGAAAGAACCCTCCCACTCGATAGGCCAGTGTGGTTTCGTGCTTCACTGCAGCCATGCTTTTTCCATTGCACCTTAAAGTGGACCCCTATCTACTGGGTGCTCCTACATATCAATTATTTTAAATAAATAGAAATAAAATTGTATTGACATATTTTCTGGTACGTATTGTTGGCACAGAGCAAAGATTAATGACATGCTCGGAACGCGTGCTCCTAATGATGCTGTCAGGTGTTAAACGCAGCATTTCATTGCAAAACTCCAGTTACCATCACCACTTTAAATCTCTAAAGTATCGATGGTGCTTGAAGTAACCCTTTACAAAATGGCAAAGCATTAGCTGGGGAGCTACATTTTGGCTGCCCCTACTTTATAAAATGCCCTCATGTCATAAATGTGTAACAGGGAAACTTTCTGAAGGGGCCATCTGGTCACACAAAGGAATTTACCTGACCCCATAACTTGTTTAAAAAGTAACCCCACCCTCTGAATTATTTACTGATTATCCATGGCAGTGATGCTGCTCATTATAAAATCAATATTTCTAATAATTTTAAACACACAGAAATAAGCCTGGCTCTTTAACTCCCATTACTCTTGGGCTGCAGCAATGGCTACAGTATTCATCAGACCAAACATATAAAATAAAGCCAGCAAAAGTAACCCACGGACCATCCTAGATCCCTATGTGCATTTATATAAGAGAGGTTTTAGTACCACTGCAATGGCCAAAAAATTGTAAGCTCAGCTGCCACGTCACAGCAAACCTCACCTTGGGAGCTCTCAGCTAAAAGGATATATTAGAAATAAAAGGGTGTTCTTATGAATCCCTACACACCAATTAACCCTTACTAGGCTTTACATTTTAACTGATAGTAGCACGGTGAACTGTTATTGTAGGACTAAAGAGGTTTGCGTTGACGTTGGCAGATAAGCTTACACTTTAACGGCCATTGCTCTGGTACAAAATCTGCTATTTAAAGATGCATAAGGATCTGAAATAGAGTTAATTTGATATATTTTTTGTTTTAATTTTAATGAGCATGCAGCTTACATAAGGGGGTACTCTATGCTCAATAACTGCTATGTAGTGGTTATGGGGAAATCTGAGTCTTTGGGTGCATCCTTCCGTTTGAGTGAAATTGTTTTTTTTAAGTCACCTGACAATAACAGGCTTTCAACCTAGCATCCAAAGTTCTGTCTCGTGTAATTGTCTAGATAACACCAATCCAAAGTCATATTGCAACTGACTCTGGGAACCAGAGAAGGATAGCCAGCCCAGCAGCTACATTGGTTCTAGTGCGCACAGCAGCTACATTGGTTCTAGAGCACAGCCACTCCATTAGCTCTAGAGCACAGTCGCGTCATTGGTTCTAGAGCACAGAGGGATTTTTAAGCTGCAGCTAGCATATTTTATTAATTTTATAATCATTAGAAAATTGTTGAAGCACAGAACACCAGACAGAAATTTAAAAATGAACAATCCTCCGTAATTACTGATGAGTCCAGGAGAGGGACCTGTATCTTTGCTAAAGACGTATTTCTTAATCTGGCTGAAAAACACTAAATGTAAAATGAATATCAGTCACTGGCTGTAGGTCTGAACATTAAACCGGTTTTATTGGCTCTCTCATGCTTGTCCCCGCTGCACCTGTAAAGGGAGATCATCTGAACTTGACCTCTGGAAGACTGTTGAGTCTACACTCTGGGGTGGTCTTCCAACTCACTAAAGAAAGTAGTTGGACTGTGTTGACACAAATCTTTAGACAGACACTTACAATGATGCAAGCATGTATTAACACGATGCTTTATAGCAGAAAAGCACTTGGTTTGAATGCATTCATGCAGAATCCTCTGCTGTGGAAACCAAGACAAGAGTAAATGATTTTATCTGCGCTTAGACCTTGTAATCGCTCCTAACTCGGTCATAGGAGCTTCCCTGCTCCCCACACGCAGGCATGATTGTTTGGGTTCAGTGTAAACACGCAGACATTAACGCTCTAATCCCTCCAATAATGCCAAATTCCTTCCAACAACGCTCTAATCCCTCAAATACTGTCACTCTCCTTCCAACAACGCTCTAATACCTCCAATAATGCAACTCTCCTTCCAACAACGCTCTAATACCTCCAATAATGCAACTCTCCTTCCAACAACGCTCTAATACCTCCAATAATGCAACTCTCTTTCCAACAATGCTCTAATACCTCCAATAATGCAACTCTCCTTCCAACAACGCTCTAATACCTCCAATAATGCAACTCTGCTTCTAACAACGCTCTAATACCTCCAATAATGCAACTCTCCTTCCAACAATGCTCTAATCCCTCCAATAATGCCACTCTCCCTCCAACAACGCTCTAATCCCTCCAATAATGCCACGATTCCTCCAACAACGCTCTAATCCCTCCAATAATGCCACGATCCCTCCAACAACTGTCTAATCCCTCCAATAATGCCACGATCCCTCCAACAACTGTCTAATCCCTCCAATAATGCCACGATCCCTCCAACAACTGTCTAGTCCCTCCAATAATGCCACGATCCCTCCAATAATGCCACGATCACTTTAACAACACTGCAATCTTTCCAATAATGCCACTTTTCCTCTAACACTGCAATCCCTCTAACAATGCGCGCAATCACTTTAACAACGCTCCCTCTAGTGACGCCATACTGTGATAATGCCTAAACCCCACACATCACATTAAACTTTTTTTTTTTTTTATATTAGTGTCTGGCTCTTTCCAAATAATCACAACCAGCTTATTCCCAAAACCAGGAACTAACAACATAATAAAAATTCTCCCACTATTTTGACGTAAAATGTGATGTCCCCTACAATCCCTGGTTCAGTTAATACCGTTACTGGTCAGCACTTACCTTTACTGCTGACGCGCAGGTCTGGGCCCAGTAAGCAGTCTTTAATATCAGCCGCGCTTTCTATTACCACATTGTTACAGATCACACTGCCCTGGAGGGAGCAACTGCAGAGGAAACAGGGAATAGTGTGTGAGATTCGATAGGGTGCATGGTGGGAGTGATGCAGGGATGTAGGAAATAAGATAGGTTGTGGGGAGAGTTTGAGAGAAATGATAAATACATTTATTAAACAGTGAGAAGAAGGTGAGACATCAGGTATAAAGGAAGATAGAAAGAAAGGAAAATATGGGACACAGCAAGGATTAATAAAGGTTTGGTGATAATGGGGCAAAGTAAGAGAATAGAAACAGTCTAAGCCGGTAAAATATCCCAGGAAACCGCAGCACAAACAGTACACGGACCGTCTATACTTCAGTCACACTGTATCTTTCAAGAATAGCCAGAAGAAATACAGGAAAAAATATAGGAAATGTATTAACATTGTAATCTTGAGCCATTCACACATCTCTGCTGTTTATTCCAATTTGACAGAATTTTCAATTTTGTAACAAAATTTACCATAAAAAAAATCCTTCTTGATTCCAAAATGGACACATATTAGTTCTGGGGAACCTAAAAGAGGGAGGTAAGTTGTGCTGAGAGATCGGGTGTAGATACTGACTGAGGGAGGTTTTTAGGTGCTTAGAGACAGGAACATGCCAGGCGCTGAGAGAGGAACATGCCAGGCGCTGAGAGAGGAAGGTACAAAATGTGGTTTTTTGCCCGTGAATGTATTTATGTATCTATTAAACAACGCTGGATATAAAAATATCCTGGAAAAGGAAGGCAGACGGCTGCTGAGACAGGCTGCTCCCCGCTGTTGAGACCTGAGAGTATAAGAAGTAGATGGAGATGCTCAGATATCGAGAGAATAGACTAGACGGGTGCTGCTGGGAGATTAGATTACAAGGAATTGCAAATATAAAATATTTATATATAAAATACAAAATTTGGTGTAAAAAAAAAGTTCAAACAGGAAATACAGTTAGAACTCAGCTATCTTGGCATAAAATTTGTACTTTTCTTGAAAATTCTTTACAATTAGTTTGTAAATCACCCTCATTAGATCCCCTGTGGGAGCACGCCAATTCCAGCTTTCCACTTCTACTTACAAGACAGCTTTTTTCCTACTTAAACATGAGAAGTGCGTTTTCAAACAGCAGCTCAATCTAACAAACAGAAGTATATCCGTCTATGCGAAAGGAAGAGATGGTTAATGATTAGAGAATCCTTTATTTCAGCCCATGTCCTTATTTGTAAAGTGCTGCGGAATACATTGGCGCTATATAAATACTATTTGGCTGGTGCAAAGATATGTACGGCATGCAAATAGTAAGACTAATCACATACAGACAAAATGTTATTGTGCATCAGAATTTAGATTTTCTAGGAATCAAGTAGATGTACAATCATAAAAAAAACTGCATAATATACACAAAGTTTGGTCCCAGAACGAATAATTTAGGAACCATGGCAAACCCTTAATTAAAAGACATAAATCAATGTCAATGCCAGAAATGCTGAGAGTTAAAGGAGTTCTACTCATTAACCCTTGTCAGTAGATTTCTAGAACCCATGAAATGATTTCCAGTTAGTTGTTACTCTAGACATATTAGAGATATTCCATTTATTTTAATTAAGTTATGAGTTATGGTAATTTGAAAAACAAATTACTAAATTTAAAAGGAAACAGTTGGCTGATTTAAGAGATTCTCCCCCCCCCCCCCAGTTGGTTATTTGTGCATGCTTTTTGGAAAATAACCGTTAAGTTGCTGTAGCTTATTGTTTAGTGAATAAAACCCCAAGTGCACAAACTAATTCAGAGCACAGAACCTGACGTTTATTAGGTTCACTTCAATCGTTACTATCCTGACATTGAAAATGGTTGAATGGTCTTGACAGTGAAGACAAAAGCAGAAGGAAGCATTTAGGTAATTAGCTGGGGAGAAATAGTTTAGAATCTTGTTTGTAGAGCTTTGGCACTGATTACCTAGCAGGGAAGACAGAATGGAGGGTGTGGTGGGGGACAGAGATCTTTTTAGATAAAGCTGGGGGAGGGGCACCATGTATGTGTGTGTCCATGCTGGGGGGTGACGCCAGGGGGACAAGAAAGAAAAGAGGAATTATAAGCATTGTAAGATGCTGTGGGGAGAGGAAGGGGGGCACAGAGAAGATTACACAGATCTATGTGTTAAGACAGCCGGACCACCTAACGAGAACAGAATGAAACACCTCTGGTATCAGCACGGGCCAGGCCCCCCTTGCCCCCACGCACACACTACTTGTAAACAAAGTAATCCCAAAGAGCACAGGACACAGACCCCAGAGTGATCAGGGAGGTCAAACCTGGGCATGGAAAGGGAACAGGGAGCGATGACACAGAGAGAGAGACCACCACAGCACAAAATAAACATCCATATATATGTACATCTATATTACATAAACAGGAATCCAGTGATACATTCTATCCATATACAAAAAATATATCTATAATTAATGAAGAGCAGTATACATCTAAATTGTATAAAGAGAGCAATGTATAAAATGATATAAACAGGGCAGTGTGTAGTATATATATTCTACAAATAAAGCCGTGCATAATATTTCTATATTATATAAACAGGAAAGTGTATAACAATTTTGACATAATCAGGACAGTGTTTTATATACCTGTTTTCTGTGAAAAGAGCAGAGTATTGTATGTCAATACTATATGAACTGGGCAGTGTATGACAGTATATAATATAGGATATCTGCACTCTGTGAATGAAGCGTATAGTAAGTGTACATTATGTGAAAGGTTCAATGTATAACCGCTATATTGCATAAACAGGATAGTGAGTAATATCTATTATATGAACAGGACTGTGTATTTCAGGTATATTATATAAGTAATACAGCATATGCTATATAATATCTATATCAAATGAACAGGGAATGTATGTGCTGATTATATAATCACTTTACTCACTGATGGCTGTATCATAACCTATGTAACTGTCCCAAAATGAAGATACTAATAAAGAAATGTTCAACAATTAAATATAAACAGGAGAGTGTATAATGTAAATATGTGTGTATGGACATATATATCTATAGAGCTGTATTAATCCGCAGTGTGTCTATATGTCAGCGTCTTTATACAGATAACTTTTGCTTCATTTCCACACAGCGGTACGTTTCGGAAAGGGTTAGAATGGTCCAGCCTATTCAGGTGAGCGTTTCCACCACAAGTCTGAACGCCAGGGGGCTTGCGGGGTTTAGACCAATTGCCTAGTGTGGTATCATACTAGTGCGATGACCACAAACGTGACGCTACGAAGAACAACAATGGAGGTCATCCAGCAGCAATTAGGAAAGTGGATAGTTCCAGAGCCGACCAGACCTTGCTGGTGCTTGCAGGCATCCTTCTCCTATTATCTGGACTGAACGGCGGCGTGGTGTTTGTTTCGCGCTTGCCGTTGACGTGAGCAGTGATGTTTTTCTGTCCGCCAATCAATGGAATGTATCGTGTGATGCCAATAGCTCCGCCCTAACCCGTACCATTTCCTATGGTTCTACAACTGAAGAGGGCCGAGGAATGGTGCGGCTTGGTTCGGTTCTATGGGCCACTTCTATAATGGAAACACTCAAAATAGCGTACCAAACCGTACCGACCCGAACCGTTCCGCTCAGTGGAAACAAGGCATTAGACACACTGCTAAATGATATTGATCTACAGATACTATATATGCCAGTGTCTTTATACAGATAACTTTTAGTATCTATAGATTTATAATAATCAGTGCGTCTAAGTTATCTGTATAAAGGCACATATATATCCATAGATCTGCATTTAACATGAGATTGGTGGTTTGTCTATAGAAGCAGACATTCATTGTTACATGAGATTTGCAGACAGACATGGTTATTTGAGATTTGCAGACACAGTGTAAACTTAATTAGATTTTTGTAGAAACTGATAAAATTAGACAATTTATTACTACGCAAAGGACATACACAAAACTAATCCTCGTGGTTTGTTACTCCACCTAGTGGTGAAAGGAAACATTGCATTTAACACCCAGGTACTCACCCTTCGTGCACGGTGACTCCGTTCATGATAATGCAGTTTGTGATTTTCACTCTCTCTCGGATGGAGCAATTGGAGCCCAGCAGAGAGTGCTTTATAGATGTCTTCTCCCCTATCTGTGTCTGTGCGCCAATCATACTATCAACACCAACCTGTAGACACAAGGCTGTCCATTACTGAATGGCACTCAGATTAATAATCTGCATAGACTATTCAGCAACTCAGAAAGCTAATCGGTTACTAGGTTTTGGGTTGCTATATTCACAAATCCCATAATATATCACTTTGTTGCACGCTATTCCCATCCCTATTCCCTAACTCACCATTAGTTTGTCTGTAAGGACAGCAGATGCATGTATCCGTGGATCCTCGGTGACAGCGCACAGCAGTCGGGGAACCTGACAAGAAAAAGAAACAGGGCTATTTACTAAAGTGAGAATTGTCAAGAATTCAAATATAAGGGCAACATAGCCAAACTGGAGAAGTTCTCCAAGGAAGCTGTAATTCCAGTTCGGCTATTTTAACCTTCAATTTGAAATATATGTAGAATTTTCCCCTTAGTGGATAACCCTAATAGTATTGGCTGTGGGGGTTTATTCATTAAATGGTGACATGTGGAGAGCTTGAGACGTCAAAACTAGTAAAAAAGAATCCCTAAATGTTTACTATCCATAATCGAATCAATGCCTTGGGCGAGGCTCACCTGTCTGTTTGCTTCAATATACGTAGCCAGACTATTCACACGGCAGCACAGCTCGTTTTTGGCCACGTGGACATAGCACCGCAATCTGCTTCCATGGTATGGCTCACGCATGTCCCCGCGGTGGTCATTCCAGCAAGACATACTCAATGCTGTGTCCATCAAATTATCTTCTGTTATAAAGCTGTAAATATCTGCCCGAGAGTAACAAACAAAAAAGCAAATGTGAGGACTATTAAAGAACACGCTCAGTTTTCAGACATGGAATAATAGGGGTTTATATGGATCTATAGGAATATTATATATGTCACAGAAAAGAGATAAAAATACAAAAAGCTGACAAGTTCTCAGCAAGGTAAAGTGAAGGCCTACAGCCATGCCACCCTGAACAGGCCTGGTCTTGGAAGCTACAGCCATGCCACCCTGAACAGGCCTGGTCTTGGAAGCTACAGCCATGCCACCCTGAACAGGCCTGGTTTTGGAAGCTACAGCCATGCCACCCTGAACAGGCCTGGTTTTGGAAGCTACAGCCATGCCACCATGAACAGGCCTGGTCTTCGAAGCTAGAACCATGCCACCATGAACATGCCTGGTCTTCGAAGCTAGAACCATGCCACCATGAACAGGCCTGGTCTTGGAAGCTACAGCCATGCCACCATGAACAGGCCTGGTCTTGGAAGCTACAGCCATGCCACCCTGAACAGGCCTGGTTTTGGAAGCTACAGTCATGCCACCCTGAACAGGTCTGGTTTTGGAAGCTACAGCCATGCCACCATGAACAGGCCTGGTCTTGGAAGCTACAGCCATGCCACCCTGAACAGGCCTGGTCTTGGAAGCTACAGCCATGCCACCCTGAACAGGCCTGGTCTTGGAAGCTACAGCCATGCCACCCTGAACAGGCCTGGTCTTGGAAGCTACAGCCATGCCACCATGAACAGGCCTGGTCTTGGAAGCTACAGCCATGCCACCATGAACAGGCCTGAAGCTAGAACCATGCCACCATGAACATGCCTGGTCTTCGAAGCTAGAACCATGCCACCATGAACAGGCCTGGTCTTCGAAGCTAGAACCATGCCACCATGAACAGGCCTGGTCTTGGAAGCTACAGCCATGCCACCCTGAACAGGCCTGGTCTTGGAAGCTACAGCCATGCCACCCTGAACAGGCCTGGTTTTGGAAGCTACAGCCATGCCACCCTGAACAGGCCTGGTTTTGGAAGCTACAGCCATGCCACCATGAACAGGCCTGGTCTTGAAGCTAGAACCATGCCACCATGAACATGCCTGGTCTTCGAAGCTAGAACCATGCCACCATGAACAGGCCTGGTCTTGGAAGCTACAGCCATGCCACCATGAACAGGCCTGGTCTTGGAAGCTACAGCCATGCCACCCTGAACAGGCCTGGTCTTGGAAGCTACAGCCATGCCACCCTCAACAGGCCTGGTCTTGGAAGCTACAGCCATGCCACCCTGAACAGGCCTGGTCTTGGAAGCTACAGCCATGCCACCATGAACAGGCCTGGTCTTGGAAGCTACAGCCATGCCACCCTCAACAGGCCTGGTCTTGGAAGCTACAGCCATGCCACCCTGAACAGGCCTGGTCTTGGAAGCTACAGCCATGCCACCATGAACAGGCCTGGTCTTGGAAGCTACAGCCATGCCACCATGAACAGGCCTGGTCTTCGAAGCTAGAACCATGCCACCATGAACAGGCCTGGTCTTGGAAGCTGCAGCCATGCCACCCTGAACAGGCCTGGTCTTGGAAGCTGCAGCCATGCCACCCTGAACAGGCCTGGTCTTGGAAGCTACAGCCATGCCACCCTGAACAGGCCTGGTCTTCGAAGCTAGAGCCATGCCACCATGAGCATGCCTGGTCTTGGAAGCTACAGCCATGCCACCATGAACAGGCTTGGTCTTGGAAGCTACAGCCATGCCACCATGAACAAGCCTGGTCTTGGAAGCTACAGCCATGCCACCATGAACAGGCCTGGTCTTCGAAGCTAGAACCATGCCACCATGAACATGCCTGGTCTTGGAAGCTACAGCCATGCCACCCTGAACAGACCTGGTCTTGGAAGCTACAGCCATGCCACTCTGAACAGGCCTGGTCTTGGAAGCTAAGGTTAGCCAAAAGGAGATGGCAGCTCTGCAGGGTGTACAAAGGGATCTAATTTAGACATAGGTAGGCAGGTAGAGCAATCACATCAGGAAAGGAATGAAGCTGCTCATTGCATCGGCTTCCATAGTGATTGTTCTTCAGCTAAAACACTGCCTCACTATTCTATCAATGACACTTTTATAAATTTCCTGAAGAAGTGTCAGAATAATCTAAATAAAAAACCATCGACATGTGCTCCACAGGTTTATATCTTCTTGGAAAACAGATCTTGGAATCACACAGGGAAACACTCTCTGTCGCCACATCGGGAGTTTGAGAAGCACCCAGTCACTGGCAAGTGGGCGGCTGTGCAATCCATTACATGATCACATACCATTCCATTGTATTCCCTTATACCACCAAGCAATTTATCGTCATTATATGCTAGTGCTTTGAATAGGGAAGGTCTATATTTTATAACTTGATGCATATAGTCACATTGCAGGTACAATAAGAGAAGAATGGAAACGATTCAGATTTAATTAGAGAGAAAGTGGGTTTGGGGAGAATAAATTGACAGAGTAAAACTAGTAAATTAATGGCAACATTTACCCAATTAAAGAAGAAACCTGCTGATTTATTCTCTCACCGTGGGGCTTTGTCTCCTTGTTGTCAAGATGCTCTAACTTCTTCGGAGATAAGGCGTGGGATGAGAACTGCTTTTGTACTAAAAACGGCACCAACTCTCGGCGAATGGAAGAGATAGAACTGAAAAGAATTTTTAAAAAAAGATCCATGTATGTAATTGCAGTGCTCTAAGTGATATATCCCTTAACTCTTGTGTAAATACCACTTTCAGACAGCCATCACCTGCCTGAAAACCATGGAAGGTAAGGTTCACAATGTTTCCCAATAGATATGATGCCCACTAGACCCAGACTGCAATACAATTTAATATCAAGCTTGATAAAGGCCTATGTAGGCTGAAACGTTGCTGTTTTTGCTACAATAAACCTGCCATTCTGCAGCAATCTTGGGAAACTTGACTGAATTTATTTTATCTACTAAACTGGGATTTGCCAACCCCAGCACTAAGTGCAGTATCCTCCCTTTGTGAATTACTGTAACACAGTTGAAAGCACAGAGTTTGGATACAATTTTATAAAGTGGAACAAAGGACAGAATGAGATCTAAACACACACAATGCACACAGAAACAGCATTTAACGATATAGAATGGTGTAAACATGTTAATCTAAAATCCGATACAACAATAAAATGAGAATGGAAAATGTTAAGAATAGGGATTCTCATTTCTGAAAACTGATATAACAACTTTGCTTGCTAAAGGTTACCAGGCAGAAAAGTGTTAAATGAATGGCTGCAGGTACGTACACATTGGCTACCAGGAAGTCCACCACATATTTCTTTAGGCAATACAGATGTGCATCTACCATTCCCATGTGGATGTGAACTCGAGGATATCTGTATTAAAACAGGAAACAGAGTGGCGTGAGACAAGTTAGCAGTTTGTTTCTTTTAAATGCCCTAAATCTGATGTGGTTTCGTAGACTGACCCTTTAAGTTACAGATCTGTGAGGTCACATCAATAACTATTATCATACATCATTCAGACCCCCCCCCCTCCTCTCCCCAGGCATCCATAAAATCTAAGTTACACACTGGTGTTAAACATCTTCTCAGACTCCTTGCTATCCTCTCTATTTAATTGAAAATTTACTTCCTACAACTTTACCTTGCCTGTTTTTTGGGGGGTTTTGACAGTGACAAAAAAAGTCCCAGTAATAACAATAAGACAGTAGTTAAGACTGTGGAAAGGGACCTGCTAATCATATTCTACCTTAAACAAAGGTTGACAAGAAGATGTAGTTATAAAGTTATGGGTATATCAGTGGTCCTTAACCTCAGAGAGAACATTTTTATTTATTTTTTTAAACAAAATATGATATATGTTAAGTAAATTCTGCAAAACATTTACAAATATCATAGGGGTTTTAACCACCTATGCTGAGACCACCTAAAATAGCAGTGATACAAACCCATGCGCTCATATTACATTGGTGCAGAATATTGTAGTTTAGGAACATTTTAAAATATTATACACATCAGAACGGCTCTTGTTAATACATAAACCATTGGGAAGAAAGCAATACCCAAAAATTCAATAATATTATAAACTATAAAACGAAAAGAGAAAAAGATGGAAATAAATGAAAAAAAGAAACATGAGATACCAGTGGAAAGCAGCCGCACGTAAAAGCCAAACGAAAACAAGCTCATACTGGCTCCCTCTATCTCATCACTTAGAAAAAGAGAAACGATCACAACAAGTTTAGCTTAAATAAGCAGTTTTGGTGTATAGATCATGCCCCTGCAGTTTTCCTGCTCAATTCTCTGCAATCTAAGCGTTAAATCACTTTACGTTGTATTTACAAATTATTTGATCACGATAATATTTATAAAATGTAAATAAATAGATCTGCAGACTGGGACTCCGTTTTGATCTATTCATTGCACTAGCAAAATGAAGACAAAATATTGATCACACTCACAAATATGGCAAGTATATACAATTCACGGACATTACGAAACTGAAAATCGAATTTAGGCTAAAACAAGCTGTGACTACAGTCGAGTGGGAGAATGTTCCATTCAGTTCACAATTCGCTATTTAGTGAACTTTAACTGATGGGATTGTGAATGGATCATAACGCAGACATTCACACCTGGAAACAAACCATGAAGATATTCGTTACACCCCCTTTCCTGTCAGTTTTAAGCCCTAGAATGTTAAAATTTCAAACACTGGGACGTCATCGCCAGATCCATTTTCTTGTTCTTCCAAACAACAGATGACAACCCACCATCCAAACAATGTTAAAAATACACGTTGGTTTAATCCTTGAGTCTGTGGGTGGCTCTGTAAGTATGCCCTCTCTGACATAAAACTGGACCCCTGCACATAAATATACAAAGGATCTGGGAGATTGCCTTTCACTGATGCCATGATGGACTGGGGTCATAGGTCAATTAGTCCAAGGGTCAAAAATCAGGAATATGCAGGTGTGTTCCAGCTTCCAGCCTGCAGCTTGCTCACTTTCAGCGATCAGGAAAGGTCTCTATGTTTGACCTGTGTGACGTGTGAAGGCATTGCACCCTACAGCTAATAAACCAACACTGATTGGTTCATATCATCGTTGATAAAGCTCCAACACATTCAGCAGTGCTGTATAATTAAATAAAGCTACGGTATTGTTAATGACAAGTTAAGAATAAAGTAAGAGATTAATGAACACGGATTACAGTTAGAAATATATTCCTTCTGGCATTATAACCCAACCTATTCCCCTTCCTGTAAATTACTAGCATATTATACATAAAGGTATAGTAACACTGAGCAGGCTTTACATTGATTGATTGATTGATAGGTCTACTGCATAGGTTGTGATGTTTCCTAGCAGCGGAGTGTGTGTGTGTTTGGGGGTGGTCACATTCTGCTGAGCATTAACCCTCTGATGACCATAACATTCCAAACTACCAACAAAATCTGGGAGTATAAAGATATGTGATAACTGGGAGAGAATGCTTGGCTTTGTCATAGCTCAGCTCCCTGTAACTATTTATACACGCACCTCTGCAGAATGCATTTCTTAACATCCAACCCGTCATCAAGGTCTTCCTCATTGGCAAGTAAGAGGATCCTTTTGCCTGTGTCATCTACCCCAATAAAATCTCGCTCTTCCGCTGGGGAAAGAAGGGGAAGTAATATTAAACTGGCAGAAGAGAAAGTGAAATAAAAACCATTATCAAAACATTACCATAACTAGTAAACCACTCAATTTTCTCACATCCCCAAAACAGCTGTCCACTGCTCAAAAACAGAAGGGTGTTTGTTTAAAAAAAAAAAAAAAAACCACATCCTCCCCTTCTCAAACATCAGTTGTTTTAAAGGACCACTATAGGCACCCAGACCACTTCAGCTTAATGAAGTGGTCTGGGTGCCAAGTCCACCTAGGATTAACCCTTTCTGCTGTAAACATAGCAGTTTTAGAGAAACTGCTATGTTTACCTATGGGTTAATCCAGCCTCTAGTGGCTGTCTCATTGACAGCCGCTAGAGGCGCTTCCGCGCTTCTCACTGTGATTTTCACAGTGAGAAGACGCCAGCGTCCACAGGAAAGCATTGAGAATGCGCATTCAGCTGTTGACGGGGAAAGGAGGAGGAAAGTCTCCAGCGTCGAGGGAGCCCGGCGCTGGAGAAAAGGTAAGTGATTAACCCCTTCCTCTCCATTCAGCCTGGCGGGAGTGGGACCCTGAGGGTGGGGTCAGGAAAACGATTATGTTTTCCTGGCACTATAGTGGTCCTTTAAGTGTTTAACTTTCAGATTGATCAGTATTGCTTCAGACCTGAGGAAGAGAGGAAAACTCTTGAAGCCTGTCTTTTTAGTATTAGGTTAGTCCAATAAAACAGGCATCACTGCATTCTGCAATACTCTGGTATTTTGGCATTATATATATATGGAAGACGTGCAAGGCCAGTGAACCAATCATGGATAGCTGTTTCATTGTTAATGCAAATCATCAGTTTTGGTTACCAGCTTCTATTGAGGCTTCGCGTGTTTCAAAGCGGTTGCATGCAGCAAACTCCAAGGAATTAATGTTTAAACTGGAATAATGGGGCAGAAAGGTGATTCTTTGTTGAACTCATTTGCATATGCCCACCCAGAATCCCTTGCATTAGTAACATCACTTAAAATTTGAGATTTCTGTAAGAAAAGCAAGTCTTATGGCTTGACTGGTGTGTGCAGATCTGTGTTTAACAATGTATTTAATATAAATGTGTGTTTAGATTGGATTAGCCTTACTAGTCATCATATAGATATATATTTTAAAAACACCATAATCACTTCAATGACTTGAAACGCTGCACATATTGAGCTTAACCCCTTTGCTACTGGAGATGTAACTCAACCCCTGGCAGAGTCACTGGGTATCATTAACCAGCCTGGAACTCTAGTTCTGGGATGACTAAAGCAATTCTGTATATACAGCTGTGCATACATGCAAAGAATGTTCTTCATTGGCTGAAAACAGTCAGCTGATGTTCTCAGCCAATGGATGGCCGGCAGGATCCGCAGAAGCTGTATGTAGGCCACCAGAGCTGGAAGGAGCCCAGATAAACTGTGGGGATAAAATGGATTGCCGTATTACTGGGAAACAGAACCTCCTCACATCATGTAAAGAGCTGTAGTGGTTATGATGCTTATTTACTAAGGTAAATGCCAGGATATCAAATAATTACGCAAGAAGAGCAATGGCAAATATCAAATTAACCTCATGCCTTAAAATGGACTTTCTGCCTTCAGTAAAACTTCATAAAAATGTTGTTTTGAGGGCGCCATCATTTTTTTTATGTTTTAACACCCAAAGTTCACCTCGGGTGCCCAGCTGTCATACTGAGCCAAGATTGAAAGCAATGATTGACAGAGTGCTAGCTGACACGCTCATTGCAAGTACAGTACAGACATGTACATGCAATGGCCAGTGACAGGCTGATGTTCTCATCCAATCACCAGAGCTCAATGCTTCCTATCTCAGTACAATGGCCGAGCAGAGAGGGGTGAAATTAGTGTGAACATGTGCCCGGACAGCAACGTAGGTGATATAACACCTTAAGGTAAGTCAATGCCCAGGAACTCCTGCTCGTAAAACATATTCACTGAGATGAAGTGGTTTTGACGGAAGAGAGTTCCTTTAAAAGATTAAAAAAAAATGTTTTTCACCAGCCTGACCTGGCCCAGTTCTTCTCACCTGCCTTCTGCTTTCCTTTCTGACCCGGTATGTTTTCACTGGACTTGGGCGCTTTCTGCATGAGCATGGAGAGAGTGGCGTTGTGTGCGCGAAACAAGTCAACAACTTCATGGAGTGCCACCTCCGTTATAAGGTCACAGCTGATGACCAAAACATCGCTCTAAGTAGGTAGAATCAAACATAAACCAATTCTTAGTGCATCTATAGTAATGTGATCAATTAATACGGATTACTGAAAAATATGTGAGTGGCAAGGTCCGCTTCAAGCACATTAAATCTAGCACATTATCTACTTTATTAATTTCCACTGAGAATCGATTTATTTTTCTACCAGCTCCTAAGCAGAAATCAAAGCGGAAAATCTGGTAAAGTATATATGACACCTTCATTGCCCCTTCTATACTAGGTTCAAGAGCCAGCGCTTCCACTCGTGTGCCACTTAGTGAAAAAGACCAGGCCGAAACAGACTAATCAAGAAGAAACTCGTCTGCAAGATTAAAGGGATTGTTTAGTGTTAGGAATACAAATCTATGTTCCTTACACTACAATGCCACCTGGTTCCCCCACTCCATTGTGGCCTTCCCCCCGTAGTAAGTAAAGGGTTTAAAAATAAAAATAAAAAATTTACTCAACCGACTCCATCGCCGATGGGTTGTGATCCACCTCCTCCAACATCATCCAATGGGGGAACCTAATGCTTTCCCTATAGGAAACTTGATGAAAACTATTGGGGTAATATCAAAGTATTTAGGAAGGAAAGATACATTTGTTACTATTTCCTGAATACGCCTTGGGGTCTCCAAGTATTATTACCCACATATAAAACTCATATCATTGGCCTCGGTAGGATAAAACACTGAGCTAAACGGAGATGTTACAGCTGGCTTCGGTAACCACTCACTATGGGAGAAGGGGAGGAGGACACTGTGGGAGAAGGGGAGGGGAAGACACTATGGGAGAAGGGGAGGGGGAGACACTATGGGAGAAGGGGAGGGGGAGACACTATGGGAGAAGGGGAGGGGGACACTATGGGAGGGAAAGTGCACTATGGAACAATGGGAGGGGGGGACACTATGGGATCAGAACACTAATGGACAAGGGTAGGAGGGGTTAAAGAACACTATGGGACAGGGAGGAGGGGTTAACAATCACTATGGGACAGAAGAAAGGGGGGTTAAAGATCATTATGGGACAGGGGAGAAAAAAAAATATTCTGAACAAACTGTCCCATAGTAAGAAACACTATGGAACAGTTTGTTCAGAATATTTTTTTTTTCTGTGTTTCCTCCTCTAAAAACTAGGTGCGTCTTATGGTGAGGTGCGTCTTATGGAGCGAAAAATACGGTAATATATATGTCTATGGACACACAGGCTGATAGTCTGAGACATATAAGAAAATTTGGGCCTTTGGTTTCACAGATCTCGCTTCAGACAAACACCAGGACAGCAAAGCTGGTTTGAGCAGGGCCGCCATCAGGGGGTGACAACCATAACGGTTGTCACGGGCCCGGCCGCCCGGGGCCCATCGGGTGGCCCACACACTTAGGGCCACCCGATGGCCCCCATATCTTCAGGGGCCCGGTCAGCGCTGTGGCCGCCGACCGGCCCCTTTAAAAAAAAAGCCGCAAGTGCTGCTGGGAGGAAGTAGTCACTACCTCCCAGCCCACTCCGCGCGGGAGGAGCGCGCGCACCGGTGAAGAGGGAGCTGCGCCGACTCCCATCATCCCCAGCCACCCTCCTGCAAAGAAAAGGTAAGAGGCAGGAGGGTGGCTGGAAAATGAGCTTTGTGTGTATGCATGTCTGTCTGTATGCATGCATGTATGTCTATGTATGTATGTCTGTCTCTGTATGTCTGTCTGTATGCATGTATGTCTATGTATGTCTGTGTGTGTCTGTGTGTGTCTGTCTATGTTTGTCTGTCTGACTGTATGCATGTATGTATGTGTATGTCTGTGTGTATGCCTGTCTGTCTGTCTGTCTATGTATGTGTATGTGTATGTGTATATATATATATATGTGTGTGTGTGTGTGTGTATGTCTGTATGTCAGTATGAATGTATGCCTGCATATCATGATGAACGTATGTCTGTGTGTATGTGTGTATGGATGTCTGTATGCATGTATGTCTGTCAGTATGTCTGTATATATGCATTTATGTCAGTCTGAATGTATGTATGTATGCCATTATGAATGTATGTCTGTTTATGTCTGTATGCCATTATGAATGTATGTGTGTATGGATGACAGTGTCTGTATGTCTGTCAGTATGTCTGTGTGTGTGTGTGTGTGTATGTATGTATGTCGGTGTCTGTATGTCTTTATGTCCTCATGCATGTGTGTCTGTATGTATGTTAGTATATGTCTGTCTGTCACTATGTATGCCTGTGTGTATGTCTCAGTATGTATGCCTGTATGCGTGTATGTCTGTTTCAGTATGTGTGCCTGTTAGTATGTCTGTGTATATATGCATTTATGTCAGTCTGAATGTATGTATGTATGTCTGTATGCCATTATGAATGTATGTGTGTATGGATGACAGTGTCTGTATGTCTGTCAGTATGTCTGTGTGTGTGTATGTATGTATGTATGTCAGTGTCTGTATGTCTTTATGTCCTCATGCATGTGTGTCTGTATGTATGTTAGTATGTGTCTGTCTGTCACTATGCATGCCTGTGTGTATGTCTCAGTATGTATGCCTGTATGCGTGTATGTCTGTTTCAGTATGTGTGTCTGTTAGTATGTATCTCTTTTTGTATCAGTGTGTGTGTTTGTGTCTGTGTGTGTATATTCCTGTGGGCGGTATTTGGAGGCGGGCCCCAGGGGGCCCAGACCCTGAGCTGAGTTAGGGGCCCCAAAATTTCTGGTGGCAGCCCTGGGTTTGAGGAGCATAATTCTCATGATATTCAGGCAGACGTTTTACAAATATCATGAATGCCAAGATTCCCCGTCCCTGCTCTAAATTGAATGTTCAATATGGTACAGAGTATAACCCCAACAAGGTTTGTCGCAAGTATTAACCCAAAATAATTTACCTTCAAAACCAGCACGCTCCAGCAAGTTCAGTGGATACCATAGGAGAGGTTTGTTGCCCACAGGGAGAAAGGGCTTTGGGATACCAGTGGTAAGCTCCACCATTCGAGAACCACCACCAACAGCCATTACCACAGCTTGCAACTCCACCGCCATCTTGTCACAATGAGTAGAACGCGGTATTCAGTGAATGACTTATAAGATTTGCATGGGCTAGGACAGAAAACAAACATGGTTTAATAAGCAAGCTTCTTTAACAGGCCATGTTTTACACCTATCTCGTGGTTCTTCTCCATTTATCAATATGCTGAAGCATTGGGGTAATCAGCAATATACGATTAACATCAAGGCCTCCCCTCATATCATTAATAATGCATAGAGCACCAAGCAGACAGATCCCAGAGCCAGTGGGTTGAGCAACACATTGATTGGCGGAGTATTCTGACCGTGAGCCGTCAACACACAAAATCATGTGCAAAAATTTGTTTCGTCCATAACCAAATCGATTCGTCCAAATCAGACTTCTATTAGTCTATACCCAAATTAATCAATTCCTCCAAATCAGACTCCTATTAGTCTATACCCAAATTAAATCAATTTGTCCAAATCAGACTCCTATTAGTCTATACCCAAATTAATTAATTAGTCCAGCAAATAATTTATTTTCTAAAAGCATTGCTTGTGCGGGTGTGGATTAAAAGATTTCTGATTCAGCACAGGTGATTCTTTTAGGGACTAGAATTTGTGTGCAGGTCTACAAGCACCATAACCACTGCAGTGCACTGTACAAGTTTTGGTGCAAACCGTATTTTAGAGCCATTTCCCCAATTTGTGCCAAACCATTTGATTGGTGAATACAGCCTGCCCCAACTGCTTAAGCTTATTCATAAGGAAACATCAGCATTAGCTGAGAACAATGAAAGACAGAAAGCACTGAGCTAACCTACTGAATGGGCTAGTAATGTGCAATGTGGATGTAGTAGCCTGGAGGACGATAAAGGCACATGAACTTAAAGGTGCTGGGTCCTTGCATGGAGCAGGACATTCACATGTGTTTTAGATTCTAATGGTTAAACCAGTCGGAACTGACATTTTATTCAGCTATTATTGACTTTACCATACTATGTCTCCCAGTAATATGTCCACAGATGCAAAACTTACATGATAATACCATTTAGGCAATTTATTTAGTCCAACTGGAATTATTATTAGTGCAACAGCTCAGTTGGTTAATGCAACAACTGCAAGACCGTCAAAACCCAGGCTTACACAGTTCTATTTCCACCATAACCATCATAAAACTGAACTTCCCAACTCAATTATTGATTGAAATGAATTAATTCCTGTAGTTCTGGCTCTAGAACGTGTACCTCGTCACTTCGTATGACAAGTTTAAACCGTGAACTGCACAGAACACCATTTCAATTTGCTACAAATCAGTTTTTGTGAATTACATCTCTAGAGCTACAGAATATTTATGCAACAGTGCAGGGTAAAGACCAGAGCTAATATAAAACGAATAACACCAACCGTCGTGAATGGAGGTTCGATTGCTATATTGCCAAAAGGGTGAGCAGTGTAGGTCTGTTTTAGGTAAATTTTATTCGATACGGTAATGAAATACACATGGTTTTATAAGCATTCCACAATAAATTGCAATCTGCTTCCCAAGCACACTTCATTTCATCTTGGGAATTTCTACTACAAAAAACAAGAATTATTCAATATTTAAAGTATTGATATTTCAATGAATAAGACATTGGGGCCTCATAAACATGCAAAATGAGTCACTACTCACACAGATTGCAAATCTAGAAAACCATTACAAGAATAACTTCACACACAAAAAATGCATATTTTAATTGTTAGTATTACTAGAATAGGATCCTATAAAATATATTTTTGTGTGTAATTCAAATATAGGATTGACTAACTCTGTAAAAGGCAGGGACTATAATAATGAGGAGGAGGAGGAGGTTAGGACACTCATCTTTTTAACAAAGTGCACTAGATCTACGTTAGAATGGCATGGAACGTTGTAACATTTTAGTGTGAGCGGGGTTACATCCATAGACATGGGGATCCCCTCTGTCAGCTAGGGCAATATTAACAGACCCCAGTCTGACAGACGAGCTGTATGCAGAGCTCAAAGTGAGCTGCAGCTGAGCCACGGTGATTCTGAGCCTGCAGAGGGGAGAGAGAGAGAGACAAGGTCTACCTGCCGACTGTGACTGGTGTTGGAATTGCCACCTGGCCAGCACCTGAAGGGACAGCATGCCAGAGCTGTAATATGGGAGGGAGATTTCCCTGCAAGCATCCAGCAGATGGCGCCACATGTGGCCGAAAGCATTACGGCCCCGGTCAGGGAGTTATTACGGCCCCGGTCAGGGAGTTATTACGGCCCCGGTCACGGAGTTATTACGGCCCCGGTCACGGAGTTATTACGGCCCCGGTCAGGGAGTTATTACGGCCCCGGTCAGAGAGTTATTACGGCCCCGGTCAGGGAGTTATTACGGCCCCGGTCAGGGTGTTATTACGGCCCCGGTCAGGGTGTTATTACGGCCCCGGTCAGGGAGTTATTACGGCCCCGGTCAGGGAGTTATTACGGCCCCGGTCAGGGAGTTATTACGGCCCCGGTCACGGAGTTATTACGGCCCCGGTCACGGAGTTATTACGGCCCCGGTCACGGAGTTATTACGGCCCCGGTCACGGAGTTATTACGGCCCCGGTCACGGAGTTATTACGGCCCCGGTCAGGGAGTTATTACGGCCCCGGTCAGGGAGTTATTACGGCCCCGGTCAGGGAGTTATTACGGCCCCGGTCAGGGAGTTATTACGGCCCCGGTCAGGGAGTTATTACGGCCCCGGTCAGAGAGTTATTACGGCCCCGGTCAGAGAGTTATTACGGCCCCGGTCAGAGAGTTATTACGGCCCCGGTCAGAGAGTTATTACGGCCCCGGTCACGGAGTTATTACGGCCCCGGTCACGGAGTTATTACGGCCCCGGTCACGGAGTTATTACGGCCCCGGTCACGGAGTTATTACGGCCCCGGTCACGGAGTTATTACGGCCCCGGTCAGGGAGTTATTACGGCCCCGGTCAGGAGTTATTGGGTACGGCCCCGGTCAGAGAGTTATTACGGCCTCTGGCCGAGAGTTAGTTACGGCCCTGGCCGAGCATACGGCCCTGGTCAGAGCACATGGCCCCGGTCAGAGAGTTATTGGGCGGCCCTGGTCAGGGGAGGCTGGTTTCATGGCCCCGGTCACGGAGCATACGCCCCGGTCAGGAGTGCTATTACGGCCCCGGTCACGGAGTTATTACGGCCCCGGTCACAGAGTTATTACGGCCCCGGTCACGGAGTTATTACGGCCCCGGTCAGGGAGTTATTACGGCCCCGGTCAGGGAGTTATTACGGCCCCGGTCAGGGCGTTATTACGGCCCCGGTCAGGGAGTTATTACGGCCCCGGTCAGGGAGTTATTACGGCCCCGGTCAGGGAGTTATTACGGCCCCGGTCAGGGAGTTATTACGGCCCCGGTCAGGGAGTTATTACGGCCCCGGTCAGGGAGTTATTACGGCCCCGGTCAGGGAGTTATTACGGCCCCGGTCAGAGAGTTATTACGGCCCCGGTCAGGGAGTTATTACGGCCCCGGTCAGGGTGTTATTACGGCCCCGGTCAGGGTGTTATTACGGCCCCGGTCAGGGAGTTATTACGGCCCCGGTCAGGGAGTTATTACGGCCCCGGTCAGGGAGTTATTACGGCCCCGGTCACGGAGTTATTACGGCCCCGGTCACGGAGTTATTACGGCCCCGGTCAGGGAGTTATTACGGCCCCGGTCAGGGAGTTATTACGGCCCCGGTCAGGGAGTTATTACGGCCCCGGTCAGGGAGTTATTACGGCCCCGGTCAGCGGAGTTATTATTGGCCCCGTCACGGAGTTACATGGCCCCGGTCAGGGAGTTACATGGGCCTCTGTCAGAGAGTTATTACATGGCCCCGGTCAGAGAGTTATTACGGCCCTGGCCGAGAGTTATTACGGCCCCGGTCAGGGAGTTATTACGGCCCCGGTCAGGGAGTTATTACGGCCCCGGTCAGAGAGTTATTACGGCCCCGGTCAGAGAGTTATTACGGCCCCGGTCAGGGAGTTATTACGGCCCCGGTCAGGGAGTTATTACGGCCCCGGTCAGAGAGTTATTACGGCCCCGGTCAGGGAGTTATTACGGCCCCGGTCAGGGAGTTATTACGGCCCCGGTCACGGAGTTATTACGGCCCCGGTCACGGAGTTATTACGGCCCCGGTCACGGAGTTATTACGGCCCCGGTCACGGAGTTATTACGGCCCCGGTCACGGAGTTATTACGGCCCCGGTCAGGGAGTTATTACGGCCCCGGTCAGGGAGTTATTACGGCCCCGGTCAGGGAGTTATTACGGCCCCGGTCAGGGAGTTATTACGGCCCCGGTCAGGGAGTTATTACGGGCCCGGTCAGGGAGTTATTACGGCCCCGGTCAGGGAGTTATTACGGCCCCGGCCGGAGTTATTACGGGCCTCGGTCAGGAGAGTTATTACGGCCCCGGCTCAGGGAGCATTACGGCCCCGGTCACGGGAGTACATGGCCCCGGTCACGGAGTTATTACGGCCCCGGTCAGAGAGTTATTGGCGGCCCCGGTTGTGGAGTTATTACGGCCCTGGGCCACAGCTTATTACACCTGGTCAGGGGAGTTATTACGGCCCTGTCAGAGAGTTAATACGGCCCCGGTCAGGAGTTATTACGGCCCCGGTCAGGGAGTTATTACGGCCCCGGTCAGAGAGTTATTACGGCCCCGGTCAGGGAGTTATTACGGCCCCGGTCACGGAGTTATTACGGCCCCGGTCAGGGTGTTATTACGGCCCCGGTCAGAGAGTTATTACGGCCCCGGTCAGGCCCCCCCAGGCTGGGTGCACAGTGCGGTCGGGGGGCCCCTGTGACTCCCCCGGTTTGTGGCCCCCGGCTCTCGGCCGCTTATCTCAGTCTCACCCGCAGCCTGTCAATGTGCAGCTCCCAGCACTTCCGGTTCATCATTTCCGGCCCGGTGTACGGATCGCACTGCGGCTCAAACTAGTGAGAGAGGCGGAGATCTCAGATAGCGCGGGCTCCCCCTCTGGGCTGCTGCGGTATTACACGGAGATCTCAGATAGCGCGGGCTCCCCCTCTGGGCTGCTGCGGTATTACACGGAGATCTCAGATAGCGCGGGCTCCCCCTCTGGGCTGCTGCCGTATTACATGGAGATCTGAGATAGCGCAGGCTCCCCCTCTGAGCTGCAGCGGTATTACATGTAGATCTCAGATAGCGCGGGCTCCCCCTCTGGGCTGCTGCGGTATTACACGGAGATCTCAGATAGCGCCGGCTCCCCCTCTGGGCTGCTGCGGTATTACACGGAGATCTCAGATAGTGCGGGCTCCCCCTCTGGGCTGCTGCGGTATTACATGGACATCTCAGAGAGCGGGCTCCCCCTCTGGGCTGCTGCGGTATTACATGGAGATCTCAGATAGCGCGGGCTCCCCCTCTGGGCTGCTGCGGTATTACACGGAGATCTCAGGGAGCGCAGGCTCCCCTGCAGGCTTACTGCCCGTGATACGGGAGATCTCAGATGGCGCGGAGGGCTCCCCTCTGGGCTGCTGCGGTATTACACGGAGATCTCAGATAGTGCGGGCTCCCCCTCTGGGCTGCTGCGGTATTACATGGACATCTCAGAGAGCGGGCTCCCCCTCTGGGCTGCTGCGGTATTACATGGAGATCTCAGATAGCGCGGGCTCCCCCTCTGGGCTGCTGCGGTATTACACGGAGATCTCAGATAGCGCGGGCTCCCCCTCTGGGCTGCTGCGGTATTACACGGAGATCTCAGATAGCGCGGGCTCCCCCTCTGGGCTGCTGCGGTATTACACGGAGATCTCAGATAGCGCGGGCTCCCCCTCTGGGCTGCTGCCGTATTACATGGAGATCTGAGATAGCGCAGGCTCCCCCTCTGAGCTGCAGCGGTATTACATGTAGATCTCAGATAGCGCGGGCTCCCCCTCTGGGCTGCTGCGGTATTACACGGAGATCTCAGATAGCGCGGGCTCCCCCTCTGGGCTGCTCCGGTATTACATGGAGATCTCAGATAGCGCAGGCTCCCCCTCTGGGCTGCTGCGGTATTACATGGAGATCTCAGGGAGCGCGGGAATAATGCTGCCCTGCAGTGTGTGGAATTCATATTCTAGATACAGGATAATGCTGCCCTGCAGTATGTGGAATTCATATTCTAGATACAGGAATAATGCTGGCCTGCAGTATGTGGAATTCATATTCTAGATACAGGATAATGCTGCCCTGCAGTATGCGGAATTCACATTCTAGATACAGGATAATGCTGCCCTGCAGTATGTGGAATACATATTTTAGATACAGGATAATGCTGCCCTGCAGTATGCGGAATTCACATTCTAGATACAGGAATATTGCTGCCAGCAGTATGCGGAATTCATGTTCCAAATACATCAATAACGCTGCCCTACAGTATGCGGAATTCGTATTCTAGATACAGAAATAATGCTACCAGCAGTATGTGGAATGCATATTTTAGATACAGGAATAACGCTGGCCTGCAGTATGCGGATTTCAATTCTACAACCAGGAATAACGCTTCCCTGTAGTATGTGGAATTCATATTCTAGATACAGGATAATGCTGCCCTGCATTATGTGGAATTCATATTCTAGATACAGGATAATGCTGCCCTGCAGTGTGTGGAATTCATATTCTAGATACAGGATAATGCTGCCCTGCAGTATGTGGAATTCATATTCTAGATACAGGAATAATGCTGGCCTGCAGTATGTGGAATTCATATTCTAGATCCAGGATAATGCTGCCAGCAGTATGTGGAATTCATATTCTAGATACAGGATAATGCTGGCCTGCAGTATGCGGAATTCATATTCTAGATACAGGATAATGCTGGCCTGCAGTATGCGGAATTCATATTCTAGATCCAGGATAATGCTGCCAGCAGTATGTGGAATTCATATTCTAGATACAGGAATAATGCTGGCCTGCAGTATGCGGAATTCATATTCTAGATACAGGATAATGCTGCCTTGCAGTATGCGGAATTCATATTCTAGATACAGGATAATGCTGGCCTGCAGTATGCGGAATTCATATTCTAGATCCAGGATAATGCTGCCAGCAGTATGTGGAATTCATATTCTAGATACAGGAATAATGCTGGCCTGCAGTATGCGGAATTCATATTCTAGATACAGGATAATGCTGCCTTGCAGTATGCGGAATTCATATTCTAGATACAGGATAATGCTGGCCTGCAGTATGCGGAATTCATATTCTAGATCCAGGATAATGCTGCCAGCAGTATGTGGAATTCATATTCTAGATACAGGAATAATGCTGGCCTGCAGTATGCGGAATTCATATTCTAGATACAGGATAATGCTGCCTTGCAGTATGCGGAATTCATATTCTAGATACAGGATAATGCTGGCCTGCAGTATGCGGAATTCATATTCTAGATCCAGGATAATGCTGCCAGCAGTATGTGGAATTCATATTCTAGATACAGGAATAATGCTGGCCTGCAGTATGCGGAATTCATATTCTAGATACAGGATAATGCTGCCTTGCAGTATGCGGAATTCACATTCTAGATACAGGAATATTGCTGCCAGCAGTATGCGGAATTCATGTTCTAAATACATCAATAACACCTCCCTGCAGTATGCGGAATTCACATTCTAGATCCAGGATAATCCTACCCTGCAGTATGTGGAATTCATATTCTAGATACAGGATAATGCTGCCCTGCAGTATGTGGAATTCATATTCTAGATACAGGATAATGCTGGCCTGCAGTATGCGGAATTCATATTCTAGATACAGGATAATGCTGCCTTGCAGTATGCGGAATTCACATTCTAAATACATCAATAACGCTGCCCTGCAGTATGCGGAATTCATATTCTAGATACAGAAATATCTTCCCTGTAGTACACGGATTTCTTATTGTACAACCAGGAATAACGGATAATGCTGCCTTGCAGTATGCGGAATTCACATTCTAGATACAGGAATATTGCTGCCAGCAGTATGCGGAATTCATGTTCTAAATACATCAATAACACCTCCCTGCAGTATGCGGAATTCACATTCTAGATCCAGGATAATCCTACCCTGCAGTATGTGGAATTCATATTCTAGATACAGGATAATGCTGCCCTGCAGTATGTGGAATTCATATTCTAGATACAGGATAATGCTGGCCTGCAGTATGTGGAATTCATATTCTAGATACAGGATATTGCATATTCTAGATACAGGATAATGCTGCCTGCAGTATGTGGAATTCATATTCTAGATACAGGAATAATGCTGGCCTGCAGTATGCGGAATTCATATTCTAGATACAGGATAATGCTGCCTTGCAGTAATACATCAATACGGAATTCGCTATGCCCTGCAGTATGCGGAATTCATAGGATAATGCTGCAGCAGAACAGTATGCTTCATATTCTAGATACAGGATAATGCTGCCAGCAGTATGTGGAATTAATATTCTAGATACAGGATAATGCTGCCAGCAGTATGTGGAATACATATTCTAGATACAGGATAATTCTGCACTGCAGTATGCGGAATTCACATTCTAGATACAGGAATATCTTCCCTGTAGTACACGGATTTCTTATTGTACAACCAGGAATAACGCTTCCCTGCAGTATGTGGAATTCATATTCTAGATACAGGATAATGCTTCCAGCAGCACGCGGAATTCATATTCTAGATAGAGGAATAACTGCCCTGCAGTAGGTGGAATTCTCATTCTACAAACTGGAATAATGTTACCGTGCAGTATGCAGAATTTAAATGCAGTCCAACAGTATGCATAATTCACATGCTGTTTTAAAAAGAATGCAGTCCAACAGTTTGCGGAATTCACATGCTGTTGTAAGAAGAATGCAGTCCTGCAGTATGTGGAATTCACATTCTAGATACAGGATAATGCTGCCGTGCAGTATGTGGAATACACATTCTAGACACAGGAATAATGCTACCAGCAGTATGTGGAATTCACATTCTAGATACAGGAATAACGCTGGCCTGCAGTACGCGGATTTCAATTTTACAACCAGGAATAACACGTCCCTGCAGTATTTGGAATTCATATTCTAGATACAGGATAATGCTTCCCTGCAGTATGTGGAATTTATATTCTAAATACAGGAATAACGCTGCCCTGCAGTATGTGTAATTTATATTCTAGATACAGGAATAATGCTGCCCTGCAGTATGCGGAATTCACATTCTAGATCCAGGATAATGCTGCCAGCAGTATGTGGAATTCATATTCTAGATACAGGAATAATGCTGGCCTGCAGTATGCGGAATTCATATTCTAGATACAGGAATATTGCTGCCAGCAGTATGCGGAATTCATTTTCTAAATACATCAATAACGCTGCCCTGCAGTATGCGGAATTCACATTCTAGATCCGGGATAATCCTGCCCTGCAGTATGTGGAATTCATATTTTAAATACAGGATAATGCTGCCCTGCTGTATGTGGAATTCATATTCTAGATACAGGATAATGCTGCCCTGCAGTATGCGGAATTCACATTCTAGATACAGGATAATTCTGCCCTGCAGTATGTGGAATTCACATTCTAGATACAGGAATATTGCTGCCAGCAGTATGCGGAATTCAGTTCTAAATACATCAATAACGCTGCGCTGCAGTATGCAGAATTCGTATTCTAGATACAGGATAATGCTTCCAGCAGCAAGCGGAATTCATATTCTAGATAGAGGAATAACTGCCCTGCAGTAGGTGGAATTTTTATTTTACAAACTGGAATAATGTTACCCTGCAGTATGCAGAATTTAAATGCAGTCCAACAGTATGCATAATTCACATGCTGTTTTAAGAAGAATGCAGTCCAACAGTATGCGGAATTCACATGCTGTTGTAAGAAGAATGCAGTCCTGCAGTATGTGGAATTCACATTCTAGATACAGGATAATGCTGCCCTGCAGTATGTGGAATTCATATTCTAGATACAGGATAATGCTGCCCTGCAGTATGCGGAATTCACATTCTAGATATAGGATAATGCTGCCCTGCAGTATGTGGAATACATATTTTAGATACAGGATAATGCTGCCCTGCAGTATGCGGAATTCACATTCTAGATACAGGAATATTGCTGCCAGCAGTATGCGGAATTCATGTTCCAAATACATCAATAACGCTGCCCTACAGTATGCGGAATTCGTATTCTAGATACAGAAATAATGCTACCAGCAGTATGTAGAATGCATATTTTAGATACAGGAATAACGCTGGCCTGCAGTATGCGGATTTCAATTCTACAACCAGGAATAACGCTTCCCTGTAGTATGTGGAATTCATATTCTAGATACAGGATAATGCTGCCCTGCATTATGTGGAATTCATATTCTAGATACAGGATAATGCTGCCCTGCAGTGTGTGGAATTCATATTCTAGATACAGGATAATGCTGCCCTGCAGTATGTGGAATTCATATTCTAGATACAGGAATAATGCTGGCCTGCAGTATGTGGAATTCATATTCTAGATACAGGATAATGCTGCCCTGCAGTATGCGGAATTCACATTCTAGATACAGGATAATGCTGCCCTGCAGTATGTGGAATACATATTTTAGATACAGGATAATGCTGCCCTGCAGTATGCGGAATTCACATTCTAGATACAGGAATATTGCTGCCAGCAGTATGCGGAATTCATGTTCCAAATACATCAATAACGCTGCCCTACAGTATGCGGAATTCGTATTCTAGATACAGAAATAATGCTACCAGCAGTATGTGGAATGCATATTTTAGATACAGGAATAACGCTGGCCTGCAGTATGCGGATTTCAATTCTACAACCAGGAATAACGCTTCCCTGTAGTATGTGGAATTCATATTCTAGATACAGGATAATGCTGCCCTGCATTATGTGGAATTCATATTCTAGATACAGGATAATGCTGCCCTGCAGTGTGTGGAATTCATATTCTAGATACAGGATAATGCTGCCCTGCAGTATGTGGAATTCATATTCTAGATACAGGAATAATGCTGGCCTGCAGTATGTGGAATTCATATTCTAGATCCAGGATAATGCTGCCAGCAGTATGTGGAATTCATATTCTAGATACAGGATAATGCTGGCCTGCAGTATGCGGAATTCATATTCTAGATACAGGATAATGCTGGCCTGCAGTATGCGGAATTCATATTCTAGATCCAGGATAATGCTGCCAGCAGTATGTGGAATTCATATTCTAGATACAGGAATAATGCTGGCCTGCAGTATGCGGAATTCATATTCTAGATACAGGATAATGCTGCCTTGCAGTATGCGGAATTCATATTCTAGATACAGGATAATGCTGGCCTGCAGTATGCGGAATTCATATTCTAGATCCAGGATAATGCTGCCAGCAGTATGTGGAATTCATATTCTAGATACAGGAATAATGCTGGCCTGCAGTATGCGGAATTCATATTCTAGATACAGGATAATGCTGCCTTGCAGTATGCGGAATTCATATTCTAGATACAGGATAATGCTGGCCTGCAGTATGCGGAATTCATATTCTAGATCCAGGATAATGCTGCCAGCAGTATGTGGAATTCATATTCTAGATACAGGAATAATGCTGGCCTGCAGTATGCGGAATTCATATTCTAGATACAGGATAATGCTGCCTTGCAGTATGCGGAATTCATATTCTAGATACAGGATAATGCTGGCCTGCAGTATGCGGAATTCATATTCTA